CCATCTCAACGTGCTCGTGGACAAGAGTGTCTACGGCAGAATCTACATCTACTACATCTAGGAGGCAAGCCACCGTCGGGCGGGCATTCCTTTAAATTACCGTTTGATTTTTTCTTTAGGCGGGTGTGGGAAGCGTCCTCCTGTAAAATTGTTTTTGTTTAATTATGATCGGTTTCCGAGGGCTCTTTTCTCGAATGGTCGGTGCGGTACCTGTTATTTCCTTCTGATCATTTTGTTTTCTATTTCCGAGTGGTTTGTGCCCTATTAATGTTTTGTTTCCCCGCGGCATCGTATGTGCTGAGTTTTGGGACCACCGACTCCCCATTTTCGTGGACTATAGAGCGAATGTAAGAAACAACAACAACAACAGCAACAACAACCTGACAGACGTACCAGCGAGGTCTTTCAGCTGCAGTACCCTGTAGTTGGCTTGTGTGACAAGAGGCTTGGGTAGAGAAACACAGAGTGATTTATGATTCATACACAGACACGCGAGCTGTCTTCACCTGACGGTTACAGACTCGGAAACACGCCTTCACAATGCTGCATAAACACACACACTGCAGAATAGAGTCGGTTTTGCACTGCAAATACTCCAACATGTCCTCTCAAGAGCTACATCATTCTGATATGAGAGATACGAGTCTTCTACCAATGTCCTCTAAAAAAAAAAAAAAACTCAATGTCCTCTCGAATAATACACCATTCACGAGTACTTGCTTGCATCTCTCAACTCAAAACAAAGTAAACACTAGCTGCCGTAATTCAAGTAGCGACATTCCTTCCAACACAGATCTTCCGTATTGATTCACCGTCCAACCCTCGAGACTAAAGTCTGATTTCGAAGAGGGGAGGTGACTACTCTCCTAGAAGCAAGAGGCGGTTCCTGAGAAACTTCACCGCGCCCAAGCTCTACGTTAGCATGTCTGTCATTGGCAGTCAGTTCCGATCTTCTTTACGTCCACTACCTTGTCAACGATTAGGGAACGAACGTGGTGGTAGTTGACATCGATGTGTTTGTTATGTTGAGTCGATTTGTTGGACTTGCTAGTTGAAATGGCACCAGTACTATCTTCATACAATATCGTTGCTTCCTTCTGCTCCAGGTTGATAGTCTTGAGTAGGTGGCGCCAGTAGAGGATCATCTTGCAGGCCTTGGACATTGCAACATACTCCGCCTCAGCCGACGAGACAGCCATCACCGTTTGCCTCGTAGCCGTCGAGTCTACCACGCCACCGCTTCATCGTAGTTGGCGGGGTCGGCAGGCATATAACCCACTTCACCGGGACGTCCACTCCCGATGTTGCCGACGTCGCTACCCGTCACCAGGGCATGCTCGATTCTCTCGTACGCATCCTCCTCCGTCGTAAACAGGTTCAGCCGCTGCGGCGCCACGGAGGTCCTGTCGCTCCGACGAGGTCCCGGAGCCACCGGCGGCGGCCCTGTGGGGGTTGTGTCTTCATCTTCACTTTCGCGAGATCCTACCGCGCCAGGCTGACACATTCGGCGCAGGAAACGGGTCGTGCCCTACCTTGGGTTTGACCACGTCACGCATTACTTTCTCACGGAATGATACCTTGGCAGATTTGGTGATTTTGAAAGGCTCCGCTGGGTCCCACAGCCTGTACGACCTACTCTCGGGATTATAGCCGACCAGGTACATTTTCTTGGCCCTGGCCGCCAGCTTGCTCGACCGGAAGCGCGTCTCCTCGTGCTTAAACGCCAACGAACCCCACTCGTGGATGTGTAACATTTTCCCGAGCGGCTTACTCTCCCATACCTCGAGTGGGGCCTTACCGCCCAGGACGTCAGTCGATGTGCGATTCTTGAGATAAATGGCGGTCGGAAAAGCCTCAGCCCACAGCTCGCCGGGAAGGTGCGGCGCCCCCAGGAGCATCTTGCACATAGTGCCGATGATTGTACCCAACCCACGCTCCGCGATGGCATTCCCTTTCGGAACGTAGGGGGGGCTGCTGTTGTCCGTAATTCCAACCGACTTGCACAGCTCCAAGAACCTGCCCTTGAACTCTGCTCCGCCATCGCAGTGCACCGTACCGATGCTTTGCCCGAGCGCATCGGCAACGTCCCGGAAAAGCGATTGGAGGGCCTCCGCCGTTTCGTCTTTCGTCTTGATGGGGAAGCCGAACCTCATGCGCGAAGCGTCGTCAGTAAACATCACGGCGCCCTGCAACCCCCGTACGATTTATCAGAGTGTTTCCCCCACACATCGACGCTTACAATCTCAAGCCGAGTCTCAGAGCGGGGGCGATCGGACAGCGGGTGGCTGCTTTTCTTGCTGTCCCCAACTGCACATACACTGCAGTCACCTGATTCGATTTTACGATGGAAGCTCATACCGGTGGAACCCCTGTCAGCCACCTGCTGTAGCGCACGAGGATTGCAGTGACCCATCCTTCGATGCCACAGGTGAGCGTCAACCTTGGTGTGATACACGACTACATCGTCCAGGTTGAGGTCGTCGACGATGACGTTCATCACGTACATTTGAGGCACAGCGGTTGAAATGAGAGAAGTCTGGTCGCCGCGGCGGAGCGCCGGAGGGGTAGACATGAGATCACACTTCACCCCCTTTTCAGCCAACGCTCCAACCGACAAGATGTTCGCTCCTAGGTCTCGAACCAGCAGAATGTCCAACGCCACTTTTACCACTTCGTCGTGAGCATTGCGAATCCCGAACTTCAGGGTACCTTTCTTGGTAGCGCTAGACGTGCCACACGACCCGATGATACGAACGGCGCAGTCCACTGGATTCAAAACGTGTTTGGACATGCGAGATTGAGCGTCCACCTTGTGGCTCGACGCCCCTGAATCAATGTAGTGTCGTATCACCAACAGCCTCCTACTCCCCCTTTTTCACCTGAAACACGTTGGTGTACCTTACCAACTCGGTAGTCTCATACGCATCCTCGGCCTGCTGATCTCCAGCCGGGCGCTCCGCTGGTCCATCTCCAGCCGCACCCTCCGCTGGCAGCTCCGTAGATCCAGCCGGGCGTTCCGCTGGTCCATCCCCAGCCACACCCTCCGCTGGTGGTACCGCAGTAGGCACCTGCAGTGCCTGCGGGNAAACGTGTTTGGACATGCGAGATTGAGCGTCCACCTTGTGGCTCGACGCCCCTGAATCAATGTAGTGTCGTATCACCAACAGCCTCCTACTCCCCCTTTTTCACCTGAAACACGTTGGTGTACCTTACCAACTCGGTAGTCTCATACGCATCCTCGGCCTGCTGATCTCCAGCCGGGCGCTCCGCTGGTCCATCTCCAGCCGCACCCTCCGCTGGCAGCTCCGTAGATCCAGCCGGGCGTTCCGCTGGTCCATCCCCAGCCACACCCTCCGCTGGTGGTACCGCAGTAGGCACCTGCAGTGCCTGCGGGTCACAAATTAACCATCCGGCAGTGCCACGGGCGTATCCTGAACCGGGTCCTCATCAGCAGCGCGCTCCTCGGGCAGCGCCGCAGCAGGCACCTGCAGTGCCTGCGGGTCGCAGACGACGAGGCCATCCGGCAGCGCCATCACAGGCGCATTGTGCACCTGCTCGACTCCAGCGGCGCGATTCTCTGGCAGCGCCGCAGCAGGCACCTGCAGTGCCTGCGGGTCGCAGACGACGAGGCCATCCGGCAGCGCCATCACAGGCGCATTGTGCACCTGCTCGACTCCAGCGGCGCGATTCTCTGGCAGCGCCGCAGCAGGCACCTGCAGTGCCTGCGGGTCGCAGACGACGAGGCCATCCGGCAGCGCCATCACAGGCGCATTGTGCACCTGCTCGACTCCAGCGGCGCGATTCTCTGGCAGCGCCGCAGCAGGCACCTGCAGTGCCTGCGGGTCGCAGACGACGAGGCCATCCGGCAGCGCCATCACAGGCGCATTGTGCACCTGCTCGACTCCAGCGGCGCGATTCTCTGGCAGCGCCGCAGCAGGCACCTGCAGTGCCTGCGGGTCGCAGACGACGAGGCCATCCGGCAGCGCCATCACAGGCGCATTGTGCACCTGCTCGACTCCAGCGGCGCGATTCTCTGGCAGCGCCGCAGCAGGCACCTGCAGTGCCTGCGGGTCGTAGATGAAGAGACGATCCGGCAAAGCCACGGGCGTATCCTGGACCGGGTCCTCGTCAACAGCGCGCTCCTCTGGCAGCGCCGCAGCAGGCGCCTTCAACTCCTGGGCGTCATCACCGAAAGCGATGGCGAATTTTTCAAGCTCATCGCCGGCCACCTCGACCCGCGTGAACCATGCCTCCGTGGTGGAGTCCTGTGTGGTGTGCGCCTTTTCTTTGGCATCCTCCGCCTCGTTCCTCAGGCGAAGCGGGTAGTCGTACCACCCATGCTCGGTGGAGTTATGACATTACCGGCAACGCCCCTTGTGCATTCCCGCACCTTTCCCCCCAGAGGCTTGGCTGTCGCGATCATTCTCGCGTGCGCCCTGCGCATTTCCCGCGCAGGCTCCTCCGGAGGTTCCGCCGCCGTTGTTGCGGTTGTTCCCGTCCGAGCTGGTCGAACCCTTCGCAGTTTTGCCGCCCTCGGCGACCGCCGCGACCGCCGCGTTCGCCGCGTCCACCGCGTTTGCGGAAACCACGTGCGCCTCCGTGCTTGACAGTGTTGAACACACGGCCGTGGCTGCCTGAACCACCATCATGGTCAGACACTTCCCGCGGATTCGCATGGCGTGAAAAACGGTGGCACGCTGCACGATAGCACCGAACCCAAGACCCTCACTACCACCGAGATTTGGCTTCTCGCATAGCAGCGCAGTCTTGAGTGAACCATACTGCTTGTCAGGGAGGGCTCGTAGAAGAGCATTTACCTGTCTTGCCTTCACAATGTTGTCGCCTAGCTTACCGAGCCCGTCACAGATGCGGCGCAACTGTTGGACCGCACGTGCCGGATCGAACTTGTCAGCTGCCGTGACCGCGACGGAGGCAAACTCGTCATGATGTTGTTGCATGCTAAAGACACCTTCGACACGGTATTTCTTGTCAAGAGCTACGAACGCAGCTCGTCCGTCACCATACTCCTCGTCCCCGACAGGTCCGTACTGCTGTACTACCTGCGAAGCTGGGCTGGAATATCCGTCCGGGCCGTCCGACGTAGCCAGCAGCAACCGCGTGTACAACTTGCCGTTCTTCTCTTGGAAGTTGAGGATGGCTCTCTCGTGCGCGAAAGCAGCTGCAGAGGTCGCTCCCTCCTCCAGAGGATTGGGAGCCGTCTCCGCACCAGACAGAATCTTATGCAAGCCAGCCTCAAACAGCAAGGATCTCGTCAGGGTCACCCAGCCCGAGAATTCGGCCGCATTCCCACTGAACGGCACATATCCTCGTTGGAGATAGAAGGTTGCGTTGCGGACGCCATTTGACTCGTCGTAAACCCTTACCGCACGGGGCTCACAACCTGACAGACGTACCAGCGAGGTCTCTCAGCCGCAGTACCCTGTAGTTGGCTTGTGTGACAAGAGGCTTGGGTAGAGAAACACAGAGTGATTTTCTATCCACACACAGACACGCGAGCTGTCTTCACTTGACGGTTACAGACTCGGAAACACGCCTTCACAATGCTGCATTGAACACACACAGCAGAATAGAGTCGGTCTTGCACTGTAAAAACTCCAACACAACCCTCTCGGCTTCCCCCCCTGGCAGCACTTGATCCATAGGTAGCCCCATCTGTTTCGCACGGGGGAAATCTTCTCCTGCTTTTTCGTTAAAGCTGGGGGGGGGGGGGGGGG